GGTGGTACTATTTTCTTAATTCGTACGATTTCTTATGAACATTAGTTCACTAAATTTAGGGGTCCAGTATCATATTAGTCATGTAATATATATACATTTTCTTCATGATTATGCCAGTTAGATGCTGTTCCATGCTTGTGCTATTTGGCTATTTTTTCATGCTTATGATAGTTACTGATGCCACTGAAACTGTTTCCTTAAAGCAAATCTTCTTCTTTGTCGTGATAAAAAAAATCTTCTTCTTTGTTAGCAGAGATGAACTATGTCACTATGTGTAGCTCCATCCAGGTTCACAGGCTTCAAACAGTTATGCTGGCAGGTAACTAGCATTGCTTTTTTTTCCTGTTGCTGGCATCATTATTGAATATTCTATGACATAATCTATTTGCCATGTTCCAAATTTTAAATGCTTGTTTCTTTATGATTCTGACCAATCAGGGTTAGCACTGTAATAGTGGCATACATGTAAGGAAAGCTTTTGGCCAATGGTATCAGATATCCTTATATATATATATATATATATATATACACACACACACACACACACACACACACACACGAACTGAATTAAAATCTCTTTTATGTTTGTTTTTAGCCATTTTTGTTGTTACAACAGGCCATTTAGTCGTAGTCGTCTGATATTTTATATTTAACCTACATGTATGAACTGAGTTAAAATATTTTGATGTTTCAAGAATGAAGATCTAGGCTTTCGGGAATTTTAAACTTTGTGCTTATTTTGTGGTCCATAACTTTTGTACTATTCAGTGCTCTTTTGGGTGATGACACTTCACAATCATGAAAAATATCAACAAATACGTTGTTTTATCTTCTATCTTGCTTTGTCAGAGCTTACATATTCTTTCGTGTGAGCCAAGGTTTTTGCCATCCTAATACTTGACAATTTATAGTCATGTTTGTCGGGCTTCAAACATTTATTTCAGCAGGGTGCAGCACTAGACATGTATAGCTCATTTGAGCAGCAGAACATTACCTTATCTAAAACATTGTACACATCTTATTAAGGAGGTAAAGTTTGGTTGTTTCCCCTTTTGTTCAGTAAAGTGGCCAAGGGCCACCTGGACCCAGCTAGCCTATATGTTTCATCTCCTGTTAAGATTATAGCTCTGAGTGTTTTGTAACAAACTAATATTTCTCATGATGTAGTCAACAATGCAGATTAAATAATAAAAATATGTTCACTACTCTTTGCAACCTCAATTTCCCCTCTTTTTAGATAACAAAATTTGTTTATACAGTGCTTCAGTATTGTCCATTCCTTCCATATGTTGTCTTTTCACAGTCCATTGGTTTTACCATTGCTAATGGCGTATCTCATATAGGACTGAGTTATGCCCAGATAAATCTGCCAATTACAACATGCTCAAATGTGCAGTCCTGCCTGTGCTTTTTTTGATCTCAGATCTTTTTGCTCAGTTTTGGTTCCACCTGCGCACATCAGTTGTTTCTTTCAGCTTTGCTTCTTGACTACCTCAGCTATATTGTGCTCCCTGTCCTTAGTGGTACAGGTGGTTGTTCATTCCCTTTATTCAATTTTCTGATTAACTACACTATATCCCTTTCTTGGAGAAACCATGTATCATTTCACTGGATGAATAAACTATTATGTTGTTGGAGAACATATGATGTTGGCTTGATGAATATAGCAGCTTATACTTTCCCTTTTGGCTTCTACTGATGAAATGTAGCTAAGCCACACTGTTGATCAGGTGAATTAAATTTTTGGGTTCATCTAGGGGATTGCCGTTTACTTTCGTGGTTATTTCTTTCTAATCCTGACCACACAGACAGTTGATTGATTTGAATTTTATTTTTTGAATATGCATGTTAAAAATGACGGTTGATAACCTTGCCTGATTAGATGGTATTTGTTTTATATTTATTGGCACAGACGGTTTTGGCTTAGAATTAAGAAGCATAAAGCATGACAAATACACATGTATACATTTATACTCCCTTCCTTTCTGTTTACACACACCTGTGCATGCCTGTGATTGTTTTCGTAGCATAGGCTACCTGCTACTCTTTTGCTTCTATGCCTATAGTTATATCCTACAGGCTCAAAGCACATGCTATTCGTTTTGCAGTTGAGTTCTGAACAACTGAGTTATGCCTCTGGAATTAATCTGCAGGTGGTTCAGCTAGCATAGTGACCTGTAGTCTTCCTGGTGTGCCATTAAAAAAGATCGTAATGCCATGTGAGCTCCTGAAAAAGTTCAGCGGTCTTCAGCGCCACGGCTTCAACTTTTTTGTGTCCTCCATGCCACTGCCGTCAGTTTAGGCTCTGTAGGTGTGAAAAGTCGAAAATACCCTTAAGTTTAAATGTCATTAATTTTTTTTTGAGCATCTTAATGACTTCAAATGAAAAAACTCAAAACTAGAAAGTTGTAGATCTCGTTGAGATCTATAATTTTCATATAAAAATTATTTTCATTTAATTTCGCAAAAAAAAGATATGATTTTTCTAAGATATATTAATCATATAAAATCATATTTTTTGCGGAATTAAATAAGGATAATTTTTATATAAAAATTATAGATCTCGACGAGATCTGCAACTTTCTAGTTTTGAGTTTTTTTTTCATTTGAAATCGTTAAGATGTTAAAAAAAATTTAATGACATATTTAAACTTAAGGGTATTTTTGACTTTTCACACATGCAGTTTGACGGCGTTAGCCCAAACTGACGGTAGTGGCATGGAGGGCACAAAAAAGTTGAAGCAGTGGCGCTGAAGACCGCTGAACTTTTTCAGGGGCTCACAGGACATTGCGATCTTTTTTAATGGCCCACAGGGAATTCCCCCGTTATCTAAAGCGAGCATAAGAATGAAGCCAAAAATTTTCGGGCTTTTCAAAAGGAGAGATGCTATTTAGATGAAAACAAAAGTGAAGTGTGCCATTACTGTTTGCTTATGAGAGAACATAACCTTAGGTGTGCACCATGTTGGAATGTCAAAATACCAACCTTTTGTGTATGTATACTTATTTCAGTATAACATTTAGTGAGCTTCTGCTGTGTTTCTAAGCTTATGCTTGCTGTATAAAATCTTCTAAGCAGTGTCTAATTTTGTCCAAAATTTTGGTGTTTTAGATATAGGCTTCACAGATACTCTCGAATTGTTAGTTTCAGACCCGGTCACTGAATTGTTTAAAAAAAAAAAAGGGTTAAGTCCAATTTACACACTCCAACTTGCAGCAAAGTTCGGATTTCAACCTCGAACTTCAAAGCCGGACAACTTTGGTCCTCCAACTCTCGAAAAAGTTCAACTTTCAACCTTCTGGGCAGTTTTGCGGGTGAACAGTAACTTTTGATATTTTCGGGAGCGCCAAAATTTTATATTATTTTTTCGAACATCTTAACGTCCTCAAATGAAAAAACTTAAAACTACAAAGTTGTAGATCTCATCGAGGTCTACAATTTACATATAAAAATTATCTTCATCCGACAACGTATTGAAGGGTTTTCTATTTTTTGAAATTTGAGTCTCATCACGCGATAAAATATGATCTTTGAAATTTTTATATTATTTTTCGAGCATCTTCTATGTTTCAAATGAAAAAACTCAAAAACTACAATGTTGTAGATCTCATCGAGGTCTCTGTTTATATATAAAAATTATCTTCATCCGACATCATTGAAGGGTTTTTTATTTTTTAAAATTTGAGTCTCATCACGCGTGAAACAATTTTGTCGCGTGATGAGACTCAAATTTCAAAAAATAGAAAACCCTTCAATACGATGTTGGATGAAGATAATTTTTATATGTAAATTGTAGACCTCGATGAGATCTACAACTTTGTAGTTTTGAGTTTTTTCATTTGAGGACGTTAAGATGCTCGAAAAAATAATATAAAATTTCGGCGTTCCCAAAAATATCAAAAGTTACTGTTCACCCTCAAAGTTGAAAGTTGAACTTTTTCGAAATTGGCCAAAACTGCAACGATTTCAAGTTATTGAAACCAGCTTGCTGCAAGTTGGAGGGTGTAAATTGGACTGCAACGTGTTATTACCAGCGCTCAGCCTATGCGGGCGCGGCGGAGCGCGCCGGACGTGCTAGTAAGAGATGGACAGGCAGAGAATACAGACCTAGAGCGACAATGAACCAGACACGAGAAAGAGAGGTCGACGTGACTTTGTTTGGAAGAGATAAGGGAAGAGAAGTCGATGTGACTTTGGTCGGAAGAGATAAGGGGTAGTATGGTCTTTCATCTATTTGTTTTATTTTCACTCTACTTTCATTATAATCTTAAATTTGCTTAAACTATATGAAATAGACGAGAAAAAAGATAAAGAGTAGTATGCTCTTTCATCCTTGCTTTATTTTCCTTTATTTTTAGTATGTGCTAGTAACACCATTAAATAATAAGTACATCTGACTGAAATTACATACATGGATCAAATTCATGCTCAATTATTACTCCATTTATTCCAAACTGCAAGTTATTCCGACTTTCCTAGGTACTTAGCAACGTATCTAAATATATGTTATGCCTAAAAATACATACCAAAAGCTATTTGTCTAAAAAATGTTTTGAATAAAATGGACTATGATTTATAAATCCATCCATGAAACGAAAAGTTTGTTGCTGGTCCAATTGTGGAGGGCTTTGTGAATTTGAATTGATTTGTTGACATGAAATTTAGTTGATCTAAATAAACATTTTATTTAAATTTATGGTTGTTCACATTTGTATTAAAGAAGTAATAAAATAATATACGGTGTTCTTGTTCATTCTTGGGTCATGGTTGTATATACGCATTAAACAGGTTATATATTCAGTTAAATAGACAATCTATATCATATATATAAACTGTACCTTTAACTATCTCTGTCTGTGTCTCTGTCTCAGTATCTCGTTGCAAAAAAAACTCGCATATATACGGTGTGGAGAGATTAATTGACGACCGCTCAAGCTTGAGCAAAATCCATTGTTTCCTCCGCAGCCGCAGCAGTAGACTGGTCATCAGAGCAGAAAAAATGTCTCCTTACCTGCTCGCCGCCGGCGCGCTTATCGTCTTCCTCTACGCCTTCAAGAACCGCAGGAGCAGCAATAAGCTCCCGCCGTCCCCGCCGTCGCTACCGCTGATCGGCCACCTTCACCTCATCGGCCGCCTCGCGCACCGATCCTTGCACGAGCTGCAGCTTCGCTATGGCGGCGGCGGCGGCCTCCTCTACCTGCAACTCGGGCGCAGGCGGACCTTTGTCGTGTCCACCGCTGCGGCGGCAGCGGACCTGTTCAGGAACCACGACCTCGCCTTCGCCTCCCGCCCGCACAGCGTGTCAGGTGACAAGCTGATGTATGGCTGCAACAACGTGTCGTTCGCGCCATATGGCGGCAACTGGCGCCGGCGCAAGAAGATCGCCACGGTCCACCTCCTCTCCCAGCGCCGCGTGGAGTCGTTCGCGCCCGTGCGGGCCGCCGAGGTGGCAGCGCTCGTCGCACGTACCCGCCGTGCCGCGGAGGCGGGGTTGGCCGTGGAGCTGAGGGAGCTCCTGTACGGCTACACCAACGCGGTGATCACACGAGCGGCCACCGGTGCCGCCGGGGCAACAGCAGAGAGGCTGAAACAGCTGCTGGGGAGCTCCGCGGCGCTGATGGTGGGCTTCCAACCGGAGGACGTGCTGCCGGATGCGCCGGCGAGGTTTGTGAGATGGGCGACGGGCCTTGATAAGAAGCTCGACGACATGGCCGAGGCGTGGGATAAGTTCTTGTCCGAGTTAGTGGCCGTGCACAAGGAGAAGGGTGCAAAGGAGGAGGATGAGGACTTCTTGGACGTCTTGCTTCGGCTGAGGGAAGAAGGTACCGACGGGCTCGAGCTCACAGACGATCGCATCAAAGCTATCACCGAGGTTAACTTTGCAGAAATGCTCCATCTGTTAGTTTTTCAAGAAAAGTTTATTATTTAGCAATATTGGTCCTCTCATTCGTGCTCGATTCTTGCGTCTGCAGGACATGATAGCCGCCGCAACTGAAACATCAACTCAAACGCTGGAATGGACCATGGCCGAACTCATCGCCAACCCGCGGGTGATGAGCAAGCTCCAGGACGAGATAGCGCGAGTCGTCAGCGCCGATCAGACGGCCATTGCTGAACCGGACCTGAACAAAATGGAGTACCTAAAGGCAGTGTTCAAAGAGGTGCTTCGGCTCCACCCACCAGCGCCGCTCCTCGTCCCGCACGAATCAACAACGCCAGCGGTCGTGCAGGGCTACGAGATCCCGGCCAAGACGGCGCTCTTCGTCAACGTGTGGGCCATCGGGCGGGACCCCGCTGCGTGGGACACACCGGACGAGTTCCGCCCGGAGCGGTTCATGGGCGGCGGTCCCCCGGTGGACTTCAGAGGGACCGACTACCAGTTCATCCCGTTCGGCGCCGGCCGGAGGATCTGCCCCGGCATCAACTTCGCGCTGCCGGTCTTGGAGCTCGCGCTCGTCAGCCTCCTGCGTCACTTCGAATGGGAGCTCCCCGCTGGCATGCGCCCAGCAGACCTCGACATGGGCGAGGCGCCGGGGCTGACGACGCCGCGGCAGGTTCCCCTTGTCCTAGTCCCCAAGTGCAAGACGCTCGTTCGGGCAGCACTGCAGTAGCACAAGGGATTTGATGTGCCGCCATGGTTACCGAGGTTCCATTTCTCTTTCCGTAGTATGCACAGCCAAGATCCCTGTGTCCTCTTTGTTTGAACATCTGAATAATGCTTGCTTTCATTTCTGAAAACGGACAGATGAAATGAACTGCGATTCCATGTCGTGAATGAAGTCTGAACAGCAGCGTGCATGCGTGAGTGCTGGTGCGCATCGTTGTTCAGAAGAAACCTTAACTTTTTTACCAACAAATGAAGCTGATGCAGAATTAGCAATCCAAAAGTACACGGACTGGAGAGCAATAAACTCAAAGCTCCAGAAAACCATATACAGATTAATCAAAATTAAACATGAGCCATGGTCAAGGATAATCACATAACATGTTCAGAGGAAAACCATAGTATCTGGAGGAGGGTGTTCCCAGAGGAAGTATAGATTAATCTAGAAGCAGGAACTAGTGACAAGCTTCACGGTACCGCCTACCGATGCATACATAAACCACAATACAGCTCCATCAGTAACGAAACCTAGTAAAAAAATCGCTTGAAGTTCCCCACAAAAGTGTGACACGATTTCTCATCTTTGAATCCTGCATCAAAGAGGCAACTAAATGAGCCACTGCCAGCAGCACAGATCATACAGGGTACATGAGGAAAGCAGCATACACGGAAGATTAGCAAGCAGAGACCTTTTTTCTAGTAGAAGTACTCATCATCGGGTGACTCCACGTTTCTGGTGCCTGTAAAGACATGAGAAGATCAGTGTACAAGAAAGAGATCAGATGAAAAACAGGAGATGCAAGAGCACAGGTCGTACCAGCTGGTGTGAGCCAATCTTGAGTACAAACAAGCATTTCAATATGGCTCTCACCAGCCAACTCACACATTGCGAGTCCTGCAGTTCTTGTTGCTACCCTGCTGTCAGTAATGCACGGTAGTGCCAATATATCGCGTGCCATCTGAGAAATTGTAGGGTAGATCAGGCTATGTTCCTTCCACCACTGGAGAACACTGGGCTTGCATGAAGGACGACCTGGACGAGTCTCTTGCAGGTACTGGCCAAGCTCAGTCATCGGTCGGTCACAACATCGATGCTCAGAGTCATGATAATAGTAATACGGCTTAGAGTCATGATAATACTATCTGCATCCTCAACAATTCCCTTGCAGGTTTTTGACCCGGTAGTGCAGTTAGGATCATCCACCTGATCTGTGTATTCATTGAAGAGGTTGATAAATGTATCACACACTTCATGCATATAGTCATGTTTTCCATTCTCTTCAACAAAAAGCTCGATGCATTTGAGACTGTATTTAGGGTCCATGACCATAGGCATACAGAAATGTAAGAAACAGAATTTCCAGCATTCCTTGAACTTCTGTTTTATCTTCTCCACCACTTTGGAAAATGCTTTATCACTCGTATATCGACTGCTGGAATGAGCCTCACTATACACATTTTTCAAAGTGTCAAAGAGATTGGATGGACTAGGAAAGTTTGGCATCGAGTCAATATATTCATGAAAATGTTGCAACATCTCAGAAATCTCACTTGCTGTACTCCAGTCCTCCGGTGATGCTGCATATCTGATGTTGGGATACTGCACTGCTGAATGGTTTGAACTCTTTGCATACTTGGGGCACTTTGCTGATTTCTCCATGATTTTGTTAAGTTCATCCAATCCCACATGGATAACCTGATCAAGTAAATGAGTTGCAGAACGTACTACAAACAAGTTCCGGTTTGCATTGACTTTGTTCCATTTCTGTAGACTGGTTTTGACATTTGAAGCCACTGAATCATCAACGAAAACATCATCCACTACAATGCTGAAAACTTTGTCATGAAGATCCCATTCTCTAATAGCTTCCACTGTGATATCACTGAATTCTTTTGCATCGCAAGAGGGGTCCATGGGAGAAAATGTGATGATATTTTGCTGCTTCTCCCATTCATCATTGATGTAGTGAACAGTCAAGCACAAGAAGGCCAAGTGTGGATCATAATGCCACATATAAGCACTCAAGCAAACCCGACTGCGTAAAGCAGCTAACTTCTCCTTTAGCTTGGACTTTTCTTGCTGAAACAAGTCACAGATGTTCCCTATGAAGTCATGGTGAGATGGCATATTGACCATAGGATTCAAGCAAGCAGCTACCTTTCTGAATCCATCTTGCTCCATCATCCTTGGTAGGTGCCCGTGTATGGCCAATATCATGACAAGTTCTTCAGGAGAACATTTCTGATCGACCTTCTGGTTCTTCTGACTCGAGTCATTAGGAAAGTCCTGCTGAGGCAATGCGATTTCCCCATGAGACTGGTTCTTATGCTGGTCGGTGGAAAGCTCAGGTGCTGCAAGTACATCATGAGAGCCATTCTGATCAACTTCCTGATTTTTGTCATTCTTGTTGGTGTGTGTGTCAGGGAAGGCAAGTTCCTGCACAGGGACTGCATCTGCTGCACCTGTGCATTTGTTTTGGCGGGATAGCAGGAATGGCAGCTTCTTCTGGTTTGGGTCAGAGCTGTCGGCTGGTGTGCTCTTCCTTGTAGATGGCAAGTGTCTACCCACCTGCTGCTTTGGCCTCTTCTGAGTCCTAGGGCTGCACTTGAACTGGTGATTGCGCAGTCCGGTAGTGCCATTGGTGCTGTTGTAGTTGAATACACGGTGGCAGTGCATGCATTCAGCCTGCACAACCTTTCCATCAACGAAGGTGGGTATGAAGTCTTCCCACACCTTTGACCAGAGCCTTTTACTCGTCCTTGTCCCAGAGAACAGCCGGCCGGGGATGTTGCCAGTGCTCTCTTCTCCGTCACCTATGTCATTGTTGGCACAGTCCAGCACATCTTCCACACCTAGGCACCAAGAGACACAATCTGTGAATATGGACAAACATGAGAATATTTCATGTCTACATTGTCCATGTGCAATCGAGAAAGTTAACTGAACAGAGTCTTTTAATACAGATCTCAGTTCCATAGCCTGAAAGAAACTTGTTCCATATTTAGGCGCCTGAATTTTCAGGCGACCTGACACAAACAACTAGTACAATTAAAAGGACAACTCACAAGAGACAATTCATAATTTTTTTTTCTGCATCAAACAATGACAAAATTACCTATGGCCTGAACAATAACAAAAAAATCAGACACTGTAGGAGAAGTGCTGAAAGAAACGTGTTCTATAGCCTGAGCAGAGAGACATATAGAGAGAGATGTAGTTCTGTACCATTGTCTTCTTCACCGATGTAGTTGGGGGAAACATCACAATCTTGACTCATACCTACAAAACGATAAGGCTAAATCATCCACTCTGGTTCGCATATCTCATTTCCGAAATAAAACGAATCAACCAACAAAAACAAAAATTCTACCGCGACGAACGATTGCACGGGTAGCAGTGCATATACTAGAAACCATCAAGAACTTGGCAAAGGACACACCAACCTTTACAATCCCACGGGACGAGAGGAGGATCACTGGATCTAGGTTATCGGAATCAGGGGAGATAGAGAGGGAGAGAGGGGAGCAGGGCATTCGTACCTGACCCGGAAGAGACGAGGTCGTAGCCGCTGCACTGCAATGTAGCACTACCAGGAAATCCACCGCCGTCAGGGGAAATCGGTACTCTGGGGTAGTGGAGGGAAGTGGAAAGCATTTTCCCGCCGCTTTTCCCCGCCTCAGCCCCTGCCTGGGTCGGCGCGCCAACTCGTGGAGCTGGACAGCGGATAGCACGGTCCACGGCCCACTCCGGCGAGATTCTCACATGATAGGCTAGATAAGTGGATAGCACGGCCTAGGGCCCGTTCGCTATGTCCTTTTCCATTTTAGTCGCTATTCATGGCCCGAAAAAAAAATGGTTTACCTAAATGAACTGACGGTTCATAGAGTTCTTCAGATACGACATTTAGAATCGTAATATTCATAAATAGTGTTATATATACTATTGAATTAATTAGGAAAGTTCAAGTATTGCAAACTGTTTCATCAAAATAGCTTTTTAACAAACAGCAAGAAAGCTGCCTAAACATCAGAAATATGCAAAAATGACTACCATAAGTACCATTGGTCAGAAACAGTCTGAACTTTCTGTACGAATACATCAAACCGGTGCAGCAGCCAGAAGGGCTGCAGGGGTTACCATCTAATTAGACCAAACAAGCATCGAAGAGAAAACTCAAAGCTCTAAAAGAACCATACAGCCATACAGGTAGCAACTAGCAAGTGAACATTAAGATATTAAGACATCCGAATATACTGGAGTACTACTTATCAAGTAAAAGCACTTAAGCAGAGAGAGTGCCCATAGGACAAGTATCTGAAACTAGAGGTAGAAACTGTTGACAATCTCCTCTACTCACACACGCAAAAGATTCATTACAACTCCATCAGTAACTTAATCTAGTATCCAGAAATTGGCGCTAACACCATCTGAAGTGCCTCACAGCTTTCCATCTTCGAATCCTGCATCGTCAAGGTAACTAAATCAGCCGTTGCTAGTCGCATCAATTACAGGGAGGTACATTAGAAAAGCAAGGCTTACATGGAATATTAGATTCAGGAATGGTAAAATATTCAGTTTTGAAGATTAACGGTTGAGTCCACCCTTGTAGTACCTATAAAGACATGCAGGTTTCAGTTATTAAAGACTGATTACATATAATAAGATACAAAAAAAAGGGAGCAAGAGCACAGGCTATACCAGCTGGTGCGAGCCAGTCCTGAATACAGACAACTCTCAACCCCGCTTCCATAAACTGGCTCAGACAAGAATAGTCTCGCGGTTCTTATTGCTGCCTTGCAGTCAGTACAGCATGGTAGTGCCAATATATCACGCGCCATCCGACCAATTGAAGGATAGGTCAGGCTGTTTTCTTTCCACCATTGGAGAACACTGAACTTACCTGTTGGATGTTGTGCCTCTTGCAAGTAATGATCAAGTTCAGTCAGTGGTCGCTGACGATACGGATATTCAGTGTGTAGATATAACTCATGCAGAATATCTCTGCCTATGCACTCTCCCGTCCTAATTTTAGACCAAGAACTGAAGTCAGGTTCTTGGTCCTTGTTTGAATATTCACCATAGAGGTTAAGCAATGTATCATGCACTTCGCAAATATAATCATCTATGTCGCTGTCGACAGTATACATACTCTCTATAGTGAACGGTTGTATGCGTGACTTGATGCGTTCCAGACGGCATTTAGGATCCATGACCATAGGCATACAAAAATGCAAGAAACAGACTTTCCAGCATTTATTGAACTTCTTTTCCATATTCCGCCTCATAATTGAAATTCCCTCCTCCTCCTCCTCACGTAACTAGACTTGCCAGTGTGTCTTGAACCTATCAACATCACAATTGCGAAGCACCTTTTCCTTCACATTCCACACCTTATCAAACAGATTATCTGGACTAGGAAATTTGTGGACCAAGACCTTGTATCTATGAAAGTCTTCCAAGTATTTACAATTTTTCTGTGCTTTTGTCCAAGTAGACACTGATGCATATCTGCACTTGGGATAATGTGCTAGTGAAGGGGTGGGATACATCCTGGAACACTTCGTGGAATTCTCCATTATTGTGTCAAGTTCATTCAGCCCCACCTGAATAACCTCATCAAGTAAATGAGTTGCATAACGTGCCACAAACAAGCTCCGTTTTGCAGCACTTTTGTTCCTTTTCTGAAGACTGGTTTTGACAGTTGAAGCCACTGAATCATCAATGAACGTCATCCAGTATAATGCTGAAAACCTTGTCATCAAGACCCCATTCTCCAATAGCTCGCAATATGGTATTACTTAACTCTTCTGCAGAGGGACGCACGTCGCAAAATTTGATGATCTTTTTCTGCTTCTTCCATTCATCATCGATATAGTGAACAGTCAATTACAAGAATAAACGTCGTGGATCGTAGAGCCACGTGTCTGCACTCAAGCAAACTTGACATGGTAAAGCTGCTAACTTCTCCTTCAGCTTGGTCTTTTCTTGCTCAAACAAGTTAAAGGTCTTCCTCATCAGGTCGATGCGGGATGGAATCTTGACCGCAGGATTCAAGTGAGCAACAAGCTTCCAAAAGCCGTCTTGCTCCACCATACTTGTTGCGTGACCGTCCATGGCTAATTTCCTGACGAGTTCTTCATAAGAAATGTTCTGATCAGTCCCTTGATTCTTCTTATTCGGATCAGTGGAAATACCTGGCAGAGCTATACCCATCTGCTTAGGTGCTGCAGGTTCCTCATGAGACCCATTCTGAATAGCTTCCTGATTCTTCCTATTTGTGTCTGTGGGAGTGTCAAGCAAGGCAAGATCCTGCCCGGCCATTGCATCTGTTGTGCCTGAGCCTTTCCTGAGGCTGGATAGCTGGATTGGGAGCTTCTTCTGTTTTGGATCAAAATTGGCTGCTGCTGTGCTCTTCTGGATAGATGGCAGAGATGTATGTTCATGCAGCTTTTGCCTCTTCTGAATTTGAATCCCAGGGCTGCACTTGGCCTGGTGATTCCAAAGGCTAGAGGTGCCGCAACAGTTGAAGATCTGGTGGCAGTGCATGCATTCAGCATGCGCAAGCTTCCCGTCGACAAAGGAGGGTATGAAGTCATCCTACACCTTGGAAGTGAGTTTTTCTTAGGCTTTGTACCCAAGAACAGTGGACTGTCAGTGCTCTTTATGTTGGCATTGCCAACTGCATATTCCACACCTAGGCATAAAAAAATACAGTATTTCAATATGAAACAGGTTGATGTAAGTTCTGCTGCAAATCAAACACTGTCCTAATGCCATAGAAACAACTCTCCTTCAAAAATTTAACTTAACATGCTTTTTTCCGTATACAATGAGACGGGTTAACTGAACAGACTTTAAGCTGAGAAGTAAACTGAAAAGGCACTGTGGCTGGACATGAAGCAACTTGAGCCCAGATACATTGCTAATCAAGCATTGTCCTAGTGCAATTGAACAAACTTTCATGCGTGAGGTTAAAACAGAGCCACTTTTTCATACAGGAAAAATCAAACAAACTTAGTGGATTAATCAACAACTCTGCAGTGTTGTATATGTAAAACACTACTGAACAACCAAGAAAAGAAGTCTAATAACATTTGAGGGATAAACATGAAGTATCATTCACTGTTAGATAAATGCTAGTACATAGCAGCATGTAACGTCTAGCTAAATGAGTCGTCCTTGACTCCTCGTCCCTGTCCCTGGATGTTGTTGCTCACCAGTTATTTCCCTCTAAATCAATCGAAAAGGGACTGTGCCCAGGTCGGAAAAGTAAAAAATGAGGACCATCATATTACACATCAACCACCTCGACCAGCCCAAAAAGGAACTTACCATCCACCATCCTCTCGTCTTTGTTGCCGCTGCAGTCGGGATTGGGACTGTCACACTCTTTGGGTTAAACCTACACACCAGACAAACCAAATAATCTTATCCATCTGGTTTCTGAGTCGATTTTCCGAGATAATGACCAACCGAATGGACCAGAAACAAAGTATGCAAAGGAAACCAGGTATCGATGCATTTTGTACCAAAGATCATCAAGAAACAGGGAGAAGTGCATACCGATCTTAACCTTTTACAGCTCCACGGCGCGCACGAGAGAGGGAAGGATCAATCGGACGAGATGGATGTGCAGAGCTGGGGTCCCGGACTCCGTGCGGGCTGCGGAGCTCTCTAAATCGGGGGAGATGAAGCGGGGGACGTGGCGGCGTCCTTGCCTCCGCGGCGGCGCGGCGGAAGAAACGAGACGCCAGTGGCGGGAATAGGAATGGCCTTTCGCGCTGTTTTTTTCACTCCGCCCGCCAAGGCCTTTGGAGGCATTTCGTCATGGGCTACTTTTTTATTTAGAGGCCCATGTTGCGGCCCGTCGTAGCTGCACTAGCAGGAGGGGGGGAAAGGGCGATATATTATATAATAATCCTATAATCCGTGCGATGCATCTGTCGAACCACTCGTACTCGCAGCTATAACCCGGACGTCCGCGCTAGCGTCGGACGCCTGCTGCCCCTCGATGTGCTCCCGCCTGCAACTAATCCGCACCACCACACGAATGCATGCGAGCCCATTTCCATCGGGATGCCCCCACGAACGTCCAACACGCCTGCACCTCGCGTCCCCGCGCCTCAGCCCCATCTCCATTTGACTTGGTCAAACCTCAAATGAGACACTAAATGACCCTCATACCAAGTTTGATCATCTCCCATCCCTCATCCCATTTGAGAAAGTTTTATCCACTAGTTTTCTTGAATCTCATATAGACTTTCGAAACTATGTCGCCCACACTTGTGAAATTTGAACTACATTTTGTTCAAACCTCAAATGAAAAAAAATAGCCTATATAAGGATTGTAGATCTTGATGAGCTGAACAAACTTGGTATTCAAAACTTTTCAATTTGAGACAATCTAGGGTTCCAAAAAACCGGTTTGTAAGCATCGAAATTTAAAATCACAAATTTGAACCGTGCCTATCTCAAATGGAAAGTTGACCAAAACAAGAATTGTAGATCTTGATGAGTTGAACAAACTTGGTATTCAAAATTTTCAACAGTCATTTAGAGTTCATAAAAGTGTTGTTTTTTCATTTGACCAAATTTGACTTGGTCAAACTTGCTCAAATGAGACAACAGATGAAAAAACTCTGAATACCAAGTTTGATCATCTCAGCAAGATATACAATTGTTACATAAGCTCATTTTCCCATTTGAGAAAGTTTTATCAAACACTAGTCACAAATTCTTGAATCTCATATAGACTTTCTAAAACTATGTCACACACTTGTGAAATTTGAACTACGTTCAAACTTTCTCAAAATGAAAAAAAATAGCCTATATAAGGATTGTAGATCTTGAATCCATGACCATGACTCCATGAGACCCATGAAGCAATGTGCTTGGCTATTTCTACTCATGTCTGCGAAGATTGGTGCTTATATGATGTTTGATGTATGATGTATCGTATCTTTATCTTATTTGTTGCTTTACTCTTTAGTCTTTCGGCTTAATCTAGATAGATTATGGACTCATAGAGTGGTGTAAATGCATGATATATATATATATATGCTTTTACTCAATATCGAAAAAAAAGTATCCGTGCGAAGTCAAACAATCGAATCCGAATCCAACAGAAATATGAAAACAAAAAAAGTGATATCCGTTCAGTATCCGATCCGTTTTCATCTAGCAACAACTAATCCGCAAAAAATGCATGCGAGCCCATTTCCATCGGGATGCCCCAACGAACGTCAAACACGCTTAAAATCCCATTTGTTTGCCTCGCTCGCAGGAGCACCCCCCAAACGCGCTCTGTCCCCCCTTCCCCAACGCACCCCATTCCCCAACTACAACAACAAAAAAAATATGTAGTGCAACATTGATAAACATGCACTGCAACATCGAAAATATCTACTGCAACAACGAAAAATATCTACTGCAACAAACGAAAAATATGTATTGCAGCATCGAAAGAATATGTAGTGCAATATTGAAAACATGCATTGCAACATCGAAAAAATATATTGCAACAACGAAAAATATCTACTACAACAACGAAAAAATGTGTACTGCAACATTGAAAAACATGTACTGCAACATCGAAAAAACATATACTGCAACATCGAAAAAAATATGCTACAACATTCGAAAAATATACTACAACATCTCAAGCAGTAGTACTACAACATCGCAAAAACATCTGTTGCAACAACCCAAAAAAATCCCATTGCAACATTCGAAATCATCTGTTGCAACATAAAAAAAACCATTGCAACACGGTAAGATCTGACCCCGAGAGCTCGCCGGAACCCTAGCCACCGCCGCATCCCTTAGATCCAGAGAACGAGGAGGATGAAAAGGAGGAGAGCTCATATCCAGAGGAGGAGGAGGACGGCTCAGATCCAGATCCAAAAGAAGAGGAGCATGGCTTAGATCCAGGTCCCTCCGCGACCTACCTCGTCGGAGCCGTCGCCATCGTCCTCGTCTCAGGTGGGGGTGCGGGAGCCGGGTCGCAGGGAGAGTGGGGTGCATGGAGGTCGCGAAGGGGCGAGGGACGGAGGGAGGGAGGGAGCACGGGCGGGCGGGGCGCGCATCGAGCTCGCGTGCGCGGCGCGCGGTGTCCCCGTCCCGGGGATGGCCCAGAGAGCGGGCAGGAAAGCGGGAGGAGAGCGAGTGCGGGAGAGATCGAGTGCGGGAGAGCAGGCGGAGTGCGAGTGCGAGTGCGAGAGAGAGCGAGTGCTGGGGAGCGCCGTGGAGCGAGGAGGGGGGAAGTGCGAATGTGGGAGAACAGGCTGTGGAAGTGGAACGGTGTGTCCGGCCTATATCATTACCGAAAGTACAACAGGTGAAACCAACATGAATTAACTTTATCCTAATGGCCTGTTTGTGATTAGCTAACTAGTATTTAGTTGACTAGTAATTAGTTCAGTCCTATTTAGAACCTGGGCTAATAAGTAGTACTATCTCAGCACAAAGTCTTTTATACCCCTGAGTTTGTTTTGGTCTGTAAAATCCCGTATTAGTAGTAAGATTCATTTTCCACTTTAATTTGGCATAATCAAGCAGTTCGAAGCTGTATTTCACAGATAGGATCGGGGCACCGGTGTCTTTTTTTTTTTTGATTCGGTGGAACTTTAGCCTCTAATAGTTGGGTTTGATGGACCAATGAGCTAACAACGAGTTCAGGCCTTGGCTAAACATTAGTCCACCAAATAGTCCACCTATTTAGATTCTCAAAGGCTAAAGTTTAGCAACTACTCCCACCGGTCCATTTTATTTGGTGCATGCATATATCAAGATTTAAACTTTAAAAACTTGGACCAATAATTAGGCTAATAATTTTTAACTATTATAATATAAACTTTATTATATGATTATATTTGTAAGAAATTATACTATCCAATGATTATAAGTTTATAAATATAAATAATATAATATAAAGCAAATGAATGGTCAAAATGTAATCTAGCAGACCGTATCATTCTAACTTGCGTCAGATAAAACGAACCGGATCGAGTAGTTGTTAGCCCAGGGATCAAACAGGCGCTAACACTAATCATCTACCGATCAAGACAGCTCGGGTGTGGATTTGAAGGCCAGTTAGGCAATTACCAGACACCGACCCTTTACTAGTGCTGACGTCCACTACCACCTCTACACAACACCATGCTTCCTCCCTCGAGTAGGCGTGGACTTCAATGGTCCTCTGGGTACCTTCGACTACAGATCAGTACTAATCTAAGTGCGATTGAGTGCTAAGTACAGATTAGGTGTTAATGAGATTAGGCTAACTAAGATCCTGATTAAGTATAAGATCTAACATAATCACATGGAATATTTAGATATTTGCTTTGGCAGTGCACCACCTAGATTTCATTGCTAGCTTCGCCCCTTACATAACCACATTTGAGTTTTTACTCTCTTTTTTTGCGTGATGTCACTAGATAATTATTTGGCTTATTTTTTCTGGTAAAATGTGCAACAAAATTACAAAGAGATTAGGCTGTCTAGGATATCAAAACTGATAGACTACAATCTACTAGTATAATGCCCGTGCTAACGCAACGGATTTATCTTGAGAGACATATGGAAACAACCAATGTTTTTTTTTCATTGTTCAACTTTTACACAATATCTTTGAGCATGTATACAATCCGGGAAACTAAGAAGTCATAGTAAAGTTTTTTCTCATATAACCATTTAAGTTATATTCTGTCTAAATCCTTAATCATGACTGGAGATCTTCAGGAAAGTTGTCAAAACATTCGTTTGCATGGCTCTTAAGAATGCCCCCCAAAAATTCCATCCTCAGTGAATTTGATAGTTGTGCATGCTAGATATAATAAGTTAAGTTATTAATTTTTTATATAGTGTACGGAATATAGTTAGAGAATATATACTTACAGTGTTGATCGGTGGCAATCTTACACCATCCCATAACTTCATGAAATTATATACAAGGAAGCCTCCTAATTTCCTAGAGATGAGCATTTGTTTGATTTATTGTACATAAATCAAATAACTATTTTTGTGATAATAAGAAAGATGAAACATATTATAGGTGATTACCGGTCTTTATGTTTTAGAATTTTTGTAACACATGCAGGGAATATTCGCTTCTAGTAATAAATATTGCCGTCCCACTTAGAATTTATCAGTTTCATAGCGAGACTGAACCTTTTAGCAATAGTGTGAAATGTAGCTATATATGACATGATTTGAGCATAACCCTTGTAACATACATCATCTGAGAGTGGATCCATAATGTGCACAGTTTTCTTTTGCATGTCCATTATGAATAAAGTATATAGTCCATCTCGATAATATGGCAGTAAAATCTAAAAACATAGA